ATGGGAAAACGCACACAATCCCTGCGGGGGCTGCTGCCAAGAGCACATCGATAATTTGCCCAGATAACTATCAACGTTTCTCCTCTCGCGCGTTCCATTTCGCTGCTTGTATCGGAACAATGCATAGTGCTATGTTTTAATTCTCCGATGGTTGTTGAATACGTTTCCATTGAAGTCCTGCTAATCAACATGCTCACATGGTTAAGGTTCTTGTTTGTCATGTTTTTCTGGACGGGACGAACGGGAATCTGGTTTCGCGTGTGTCGATCGTCGCCGGATTAGACGGTTTAGAGGTGCCGTTTTAGATACGCTTTCTGTCAGCTATCGTCATTCCGGTAATGGTGGTCGAATAATGGCGGAGACCGCGGGGTTTGCGGGTGGTGTCCGTTGTTATTTCGTCATCGCACCATCACGTCCCCCCTGCTATCGTCAGTGGTCATCCAGGGCGCAGGAACTCTCGTTACAATTATTTTACTCATTGATATGTTTCATGTCCTACGTAGTGGCGCCCTAGACTCCGTGTATGCCCCTGTCCAAAACCCCGGTTTTGATATTGCCATGTGCGTTTGGTATCATTCCGTAAACATGTGCGTTTGGTATCATTCCGTAAAACCACGTAACCACGTAACCCCGAACAGTCTAAAATGGCGATAATTACGATTGCTTAGATCCCCTTTTCTCCTCCCTGACTCTGGAGTGCCTGGACGCCTGTTCCTCCGGCTCCTCAAGGTCGTCGTCGTATTGATCCTCTAATGACACGCGTTCTCCGTGATCCATCGAATGTCGGTCGTTCAGTTCCAAGTCTTCGCCTTCTTGGAGGTTATCGCCTTCCGCTGAATGTAGACCTATCGTCGTCGGTGTGTGTGTCCTCCTCTGCTCCCAAGTCTTGTTCGTGCTGTTTCCATCGGGATCAAGCGGCATACTCGGGTCTTCTTCTGGTCGTAATGTCGCGTGTGATACGCGTGAAGGTCGTGTGAGAGTGCGAAGAGTAGACTCCTGTCCAGGTGATGTGATCCAGTTCATGACAAGTGCCGAGAAAAAGACTATTCAATGACATATTAGCACCTTTTGATGAAAATCATTCTGTGGTCGATCTTACTGTCGGTGTTGCAACATAATAAACACAACCACGCAACCTCTCCATTGAGTGCGCCCAAGACCGCTAGATTCCTATTTCTTCAGGTCAGTGAATTGCCCACGTCAACTCGAGCCAATGACGTACGTTACACTGCTTAGGAGTGTACAGCATGAACCGATGAAAGTCCGGATCACAAGACGTCGAAGCCTAATATTCGGTGGCGCTCGGGGGACCCGGCGGTTCCTCCAATCCAAGGTCCACGGTTTCCAAAAGTTATACTTGACGGAATGAAGGCCTGTCTTCGATTTAGTAATGTCACACATGGACTCGAGCTTCTTAGCACTTACTTAGTAGTGGGAGTAGAAACATGATAGTGAGGTAAACCTAGTAGATGTCAGAGCCCATACACATGGAGTCATGCCAGAACGAAGCTCACATTGACAGCAGCATCAAAGGATATCAAGGCCAAAATGACGTTTTGGCCCAGTCCGATGATGCATATTCCGTCAACGTAATTTGTTATTCGGAAGATGAAGTTCAATATCACGATGAGGACGAAGACCCCTGTGTCGCGTGTTAGCCAAGACACTAAACGATTCCCACATGAACCATACCAAGCATGCCGAAAGAATTGAATATGTAGAGCTTGGACTTCATTCGGGGTTTTGATGTCTGTCTGATGATGTGCTGTTTTCATTGTTAGTTGAATACCTTGGGGGGCCATCTGTATGTCAACCACTTACTGCCCGATCTACCATGAACAGGTATATGAACTGTGGAGTCACATGTCAGTCTTCGATCTACCGATTACACAGACACGTGCATCAACGCTTACCAGCTGTAAAGACGGTCAGTAAGAATTATCTTGACGTATCTAGGACTTGGACTGACCTTTGTCGACACATAGGCGCCGAGGCAAAAGAGCGTCGCTGCTGAACAAGCTGCGAAGTTCATGTCGGTCCCGAATCCGAACTGTAGAATTGACGTCCCGAAGACGAAAAGAAAAGAGAAAACATATATGCAGATCACGACTGGAAAATTGTCAGAGTCGTCTCAATCTCGAGTAGGGGAATGTCCCTACGCCACATTGTGTACGGCAACACCCTCCAATCCTTGACGGTCGATACTCGCATAGCTGTAATTGTCGTCAGAATTATTGCTCGAGCTTGTGCGGAGTTCCTGCCGTTCCAATGTCGTTCCGCATCAGATTTACTGACCAAATAAACTTGCAAGCGTGCATGCCGAGATCAAGGCGACAATGATGCTCATGACCTTTCCCGCAAGTGGCTGCGGCCCATGATTGATACCACGGATCGCCACATCTTCCCTAATCTCCAACGATATCATGGCTCCAGCTTTCCCTGCTGCGTTCTGCCAGCGGCTTGTTATGTTGACCCCATCAAGATAATCCCTCTCTATATGTCGACCCGGAAGAGCCGACCCAACGCGCCGATGTGGGTATTGTCGATCGGTAAATACGGGGGCGGAGACGACGGGGGCCCGCGATGGTGTTTCGACGACCTTAACGACGATTCTCAGGGTCGACTGACGACGAACGTATTGCCCAGCGTGCGGCGAAAAGGAAAGCGTGCGACAAAAGAGGGGGGAGCTGGGGGGTAATGGGGATAGATGGGAAACTTTGAAACGGAGAAAGACGAGGAAGGGCTCCCTTGGGAAACTCTGCTGGGGAAGCTTGGGGATGGAGTCGATCGGAACTCCCTCATGTACCTCATGTAGGGACTTTTTTCTTTCGTCCGCACGGCACTCGTAGGCCGTGCCGCACGTGGGATCGGTGTTTGTGCGGGAATGTCCAAGCGGTGCGATGAGGAAATACGGTCAACTCTCCCAGCGAATAGACTTTTTGGTCAAACGCACCATGCAACGGTATGATGGTGGCCTTTGAGCGACCCTGACTCGCGTGTCTGCGAGCTTTCCGCCTCTTTAACGTCGCGCACGGCAGTTACGCTGCCGGACTGCTTCATCATGGCACGCCTCGCCCAGACTATTTGACTTTCGAGCAAATGAAAAGATTGGATCTCTCGGTTCTAGCGGATGGCGGATGGAGATGGGAGGCGAACGGCGTGAGCCACGTGACGACGCCACAGGGTCTGAACATCTTTGGAATCTTTCGGATCCAGATCCCCACGTTATTCTAGATCAACCTTACTACGGATAGTTGGGCAAACACTTCGTGGTCCCCTGAGGTAAGGCACCGCGTCCAGGGCCGATCTTCTTCCGATAATTTTAAGGTTGGTGGTCCTTGACATGGCCAGCCAGCGGTCCCGACATCCGTCGGCTTTGCCCGAAGGCTTGGCTTCCTGGGGCTGGTCTCTGTGACATTTCAGGAGGCGGTGTTGCGACGCCAGATGTGTGATTTGAGCGGAATCTCACCCTGACGATGCTCTGGGGTTTTTGGCAGCTTGAAATAATAATATCGCAAAAATATCATCATGGGCCTGGACTACTCCGTGATTGACTTGTATTTAAAGTCGTGATGATCGCCGCTGATAACAGACCCTTTTTTGAATGACACTTGCTAGTTCATTTCTGCTTACCTGTACTTGAAAGATTCAAAGCCTTACCGACGCGTCGATCGCTCGTTTAATTCTCTCTTTTTCTAAATTCGCTCCTTGACTTTTGCTGCAATCAAAATGCGTGCTTCGGTCGCCGTTGTTGGATCGCTTCTCTCCTTCGTTGTTAGCGTCTCCGGGTAAGCACTCTTCCACTCCCAATCTCCAAAGGGACTTGTCAAGTCATCAACGAAGATCGTGTTTGTGCGCGCACGTGGCTGATTTCTTTGACACCGCACAGACAAGGCGAATTCCAGACAGTCTTTTGTCAAACCATTGACGGCAAACACGCAGCCAGTAACAATTTCTGCCAGGCTGTTGGAGGCGCTGTTTTGCCGTCCCCTGGGGTAAGTCTTGTCTCTTTGTTGTTGATGTGGCTGAATCAACGTAATTGCGGTTGAGTCTAACAGCCCCTAGTTCTGCTGCCTTCGCTCAAGCGACTTTGACAAGTTCGTAGCTCTCTCAAAGGGATGTGCAGACAATGGCTTGGTGCTAGGAAAGAACGACGTCCCTTGCTCTCCGTAGACATACCGGCTTGTTTCAGAAAAGCCCATATACCTACCATGACCTGCAGACGCTTGTAATCAGGAGCATTCTATGATTCCTCAGTTACTATCATGATAATAATGAGTGATTAAACTGCCAGTACAACATGCGACATGAGTCGTGCAAGTCTTTAAACCCGTAGAGCTTAATCAATACAGACAGGGTCCACTGAATAGAATTTGAAGCGGTTCGCAACGCGGTTTGAGACCTCCGTAGCTGTCGACCTTCATGGTCAATTGTCTCAGGTTGTCCCAGCCGCTCTTCACCTGCTTCTAACCGAGGCTGCCAACAGCTGACGATACCACGGAACATGGACTGGGGTTCGTCCCGTCATGCCCGGCAAGGGTAGGCCATTCGGAATCGTCCTGAGGTCGAACCAGGACGCGGGAATATTTTCGCTGTGAAAATAGGTAAATGTACGCACACAACTTTATGCAGCTTCCGTCTTGCTTTGCCCCTTGCCGTCGCCATGTGGAAGCCATGTGCACGTAATGGATCCTAGTCATGACCACGCCGTGGTCGACAAATCAAAATATCGCAAAAACATAGAACAAAAAGTTACACTCCTTATTAAACTCAAAGCTGATGTACTAACTCCGGGGACTAGACACTGTCCCTCTCTATTCTTGTACTCCTCAATCTTGCTCACTTCCGCGCAACAGTCTGGGGTAACGCGCTTCATCGCCTCTCTCAACCACGGCTTCCAGAAAAGCAGCCAACACAGCGCTCATACCCTTCTCCTCGGCCTCGGTAGCCCAATCAACCATACTCAGACTTTTGAAAGAATGACCAAAACGAGCTTCCATCTAACTCTGGAACTCATGAACCGGCACCACGTTGCCTTCAGTGTGGTGGATAATTCTGGTTGCGCCGTAGGAGACTCCAAAATTGTCATTCGTCAGTGATTGAAGAATTGCTCCCGCCGTTGTCGGCAACTTGCACATGTCCAGGAAGCCAGAGAACGTAGCCAAAGATGGGACTGATTTGAGGATGGCTGAGTACTTGTGGATCATGTTGACCGCGTCCATCTCATCAGCGTCCTCGGACATGAGGTAACCCGCGCGATGAATCGACACAGATAACCCGGTTGCGGCCGCACACTTCTCGAGATACGTCTCGCTCGCCCATTTTGTTGAGGTGAATCCCTCTCTGCCAAGAGCAGCTGGAGGATAATGCACGGAAATGGGCCGCTCGGGGTACGTGTTGCCTCCGCTGAACAGGATGACGCGGGGGCTGGAAATGTAGTGGAATGGCACCTTCCTGACCAATGCCAGATTCGCCAGGAACTTCGTTGACTCTACATTCTGAACGCGAATGGAGTCATAGTTGTTCAGGCAAGAGCCCTCAGCTCCGGCGTGGATTATGATGTCCACGTCTCTTTGCAAGGTTTGTTGCGCTTCACCCGAAAGACCAAGGGTTGGATCCGCAAGACTTCCGATGTGAATCACGAGTTTGTCGCTTGCTGGAAGCTGGGGTACTTGTTCCTGACTGATGGCGATGCAGTGAACTCTGCCAACGGAGGGGTCTTCGAGAAGGAGTTTCAGGAGCCATGATCCCAGTCCCTTAGCTGCGCCCGTCAGAATGACGATTTTGTTTTCCTTCGGGACCACGTGAGATGGAGCAGCGCTTACTCCCTCGATGGCTGCTTGACTGACAAAACGAGTCTGTTCATCCCAGAATTCCCAGTCAATGCCGTCATTTTTAGATTCTTTGGCGCCTCGAATCATAGCTGCCATTGATCGCAAAGTGCTTGCTTCAAACAATTGTAGAAGAGGCACAGAAATCTGCCACTGCTTCTGTACCTTCTTTCTCAAGTTGACCAACAACAGGGAGTTTCCTCCGAGACGGAAGAAGTCGGAGTTGGGAAGAATGCCAGTTGATTGGGAGATGGTGTCTGGAAGAATCTGTTCCCAAACATGACGCAGGTCACGCTCGAGTGGAGTGAGCGTTTCTTGGCTGCTTTCCTCAGCCTGAGCTGGGATCGGTATCTCATTCAAAGCAATCCGGTCCAACTTGCCATTGTGGGTCATGGGAAGCTGTTGAAGAGGAATGATGATAGAAGGCCGCATATAATCCGGAAGAGGGAGGCTTGCCGGGAGTGATCGGAGATACTCCTGGGTGTCTTTGATTTGAGCGGCAGTTGCGATCACGGCAAAGGCAACCAAGGTCTTGTCTTCTCCGCGCACGGTGACGACCGCTTCCGCAAGTTTTTCGTTCGCCGTCTTGAGAATGTTGGACGCAATGTCCTCAAGCTCGATGCGAATTCCTCTGATCTTGACTTGGCTGTCACCACTGATACGGCCGAGAATGACGAGCGAGCCCTCTGGCTTCAAATAACCGGAATCGCCGGTGCGGTACATCATCTTCCAGTCATTTCCTTGATCCTCCGCAGTAGCGAAAGGATCCGAAACGAAAGCCTTGTTGGTGAGCTCCTGGCGGCGAAGGTATCCCTGACTGACGCCTGCACCTCCGATGCAGACTTCTCCGGCGCAACCCTCTGGTACGAGGTTCATTCTGTCATCGACAATGTATATCGAAACATTATCCAGGGCAGGACCCGCAGGCACGAAGTCCAAGCCGTCTTCCAAGTACTTGACGCGTTCCACCGTGGCGAAGATGCACGCCTCTGTCGGTCCGTAAACGTTGAAGACGTTCGCGCCTGGTGGCATTGCCTGCTTAAACTGGGCCGCCAGCTGGGGTGTGAAGATCTCGCCCCCTACAGCCACGGTCCGGAACTTTTCGCAAGTCTTGAGTACGTACGAAGCGTGTTGGAAGATGTGCTTGAACTCGACAGGTGTGCCAGCCATGAACGTCACCTTTTCGTTCTTGATGAGGTCAGCGATGGCTGATGGGTCTCTGCGTTGGTCCTTGGAAGCCATGACCAAGGTGGCCGCGTTCGAGAATGCAGTGAAAATCTCGAATGGACAAAGATCAAAGCTGACGCCGGTTTGTTGAAGAATCACCTCTTCCTTTGGTCGGACTTGAAGCCTACGCGAAGACGCTTCAATCAAGTTGACGTAGTTTCTGTGCTTCAAAATGGCTCCCTTGGGGACTCCGGTCGCTCCGCTTGTGTAGAAAAGTACGGCTGCTGCTTGAGAATCGGATGAATTACGGACTTCGTGGTCTCCAGCTCGAGGCAGAATCGAAGAGACATCCAAGGTCGAGGTACCACGGCAAGAATCGACTAACAGTTGGGTGAGATCGGAAGTCGCTTTATCGTGGAGGATCGCCTGTGGTTTGCAGTCGCCCACAATTGAAGCCAACCTCTCTTGGTGATTGGTGGTATCGAGGGAGACAACAATGGCTCCAACCTTCAAAACCGCGAGGTATGCAAACACATATTCGGCCGAAGGCTCGATCAACAGACAACAGAAAGGCTCGGCGCTTCTAGGAACCCCGAGAGCTCTCAGAGATGCGGCCATGTTGTTGACTTTCTGCATCATCTCTCGATAAGTGTAAACCTTTTCTCCGTCTTTGATGGCAACGAGATCCGGATGGCTTTCAGCGATTTGGTCGATTCGATGGGAAATCGTGTATGGCCATTCAATGTTGAATCGGCGGCCTCTTCCTGTCAACCCCTGGCCATCTGACTCGCCCACAGCTTTCAGCATGGAGGACCTATGCATGGAAAGCTCGGCAACCTCAGACCGCGGTGCTGCGCAAGCAGACTCCAGCAAGCATCGATAACAGTCCAAAATTGACTGCGCAGCCTCTTTCGAATACAGCGCATCTTGAACGGCGAAATGGAGGAGACAAGTTCCGTCTGGTGTGTCCGTGATATTGACTCCCAGATCATACGGGTTGCCTGAACTCTGAGATTGGACATACTTGAGCGCAGCATCACCAATGGAGTTCAATCCCAAGATTCCAAGTCGGTAGTTGATGATGACCTGGAAGATTGGGCTGTGTCGCGCCGTGCGCGGAACTTGGAGTTCATCCAGCAAGGCGTCGAGGGGAATTGTGGAGTTAGTGAGGGACGCGAGGATTTTCGAAGACGCTTTCTTGCAAAGAGTTTCGAAGCTTTCGGTCTCCCCCATGTTGACTCTTACGGGGACGATGTTGATGAAGCATCCTGCCGTCTGAGAGAACTCAGTGCCCGACCGTCCTGTATCAACGGTGCCAATGCAGAAGTCGTTTGTCTGTGAAAGGCGAGATACCATTGATGCGAGGACAGCAAAGTGGAAATGGAACGGCGTTACATGAAGTCGGCTGCTGACTTGCTTGATTTGGGATACCAGGTCTTTAGGCAACACCGTATCAACGATGGTGGTGGCGTACTGGTTCGTTGCCTTCCGAGTCTTTGTGAGCGACATGGGAAAGAGGGGCAGGGCATCGGGAAGGCCTGCAAGCTCATCCTTCCAGAATTGGGTCTCCTTGGCACAGTTTCCGTGCTCTACCATGGACCGCTGTTTAACTGCGAAGTCGACGTACTGCGGAATGGTGGGCAGAGACTTCCCCTCGTATGCTCGCGCAAGATCTTTCAAGAGAAGGATCCATGTGACACCATCAATGGCTATGTGGTGACTGGAGAGGATGAGAGTGTGTCGGTCGCTTGCATGTCGGAGGACAGTCAATCCCAAGCATACACCTTCTTCGAGATCCCACTGCCGTGATTTCATATCCTGGTACTCTTGTGCAGTTGTTGCCTCCGTTGCGTCGTCCACAAATTTGAAGGGGCATGCTGACGTGGCTGTCACAGCTTGCATCGGCAAACCAGTAGCTGAGTCCGTGTAGAAGTATGTGCGCAAGATCTCGTGATGCCAGGTCACCTGCCGGAATGCATTCGTCAATTGATCGACGTCCAAAGGCCCTCTGAGCGCGTACATGGACGTCTCGTTGTACGTTGTTGGATCTTCCAGGAACCCTTGAAGAAACCACAGCCGGGCTTGCGCGAAAGACATCTGCGCTCTTCGGTGAACGACTCGCTGAATCTTGCGCTCCTTGAAGTAGCCATCTGCCTGCTCGTCCCTGCTTTCACTGCCGACGGATGTCATCGGAGTCGGTGGTGATGCGTCCGGTGTGCCTGGCGTTGTCCTGTTGTCTAGTGTGATTGGCGTCGATGCGCCATCCACTTCGAGGACCGGTACACTTAGCTGAGTAGTCTTGGTCTCAGGCTTGGTCTCAGGCTTGGTCTCGGCTTCTGAGGCCTCCTTCTTGGATGGACTGCTGCTTTTGTTGGCGAAGATGGGGGCGGAAGCCGCTTTGCAGATCGAATCTCCAGAAGCACCGCTCAAGATTTGAAGAACGCTGACTTCGGCGCCGACAACCTTTCGGAACCATGTCTGTACTTCCATTGCAAGAAGGGAGTCTAGACCAAGACTGACGAGAGGCAAGTCCATCTTTGCACTTCCTTGAGGTAGTTGCAGAAGACTCTCCAGTCTCTGGGCGAAAGCTTCTCGGACCTTGGCGAAGACAGTCTCCTCGTCGGTGGCCGCGTCTAGGGCGGCCCGAAGGTCTTCAAGAACCGAGGTGCCAATGTTCTCGGTCGCGGAGTCCCGCTTATCTCTCACATAGAAGCCAAATCGGGGTTCGTTGGCCCAGAACGGTCGCTCGGCTTCATTATCGCTGATTGCCAGGCCGGCAATGAGCTCGCTATGTGAAGAAAATCCTGGACGACCGGCAAGAATACCCTCTGCAAACATCACGTGGACCTCAGCTTCGCAGAGAGCGAGAACGCACATGCTGCGCAGCTTCTTGGCCACAATGGGATCTTGACGGGTGACATATCCGGTGTCTGAAATCATGCCCACATCAATAACGGATCCAGCCAGGCCTCGACGTCTCCGATCAGCGGCAAGCCCAGCCATGAACGTGTTCGCCATGTGGTAGTTGGACTGGCCAGGTGTTCCTATAACACTGCCAGTTGACGAGAGCATGATGAAGAAGTCGAGGTCTTGGCCCGAGAAAGCGCGGTCAAGATGGATGCTACCATCAACCTTGGGCCGGAGAGCAGTCTGCACAGATTCCACGTCCATCTGCATGAAGAGCTTATCTGACAATACCATTGATCCGTTGCAGACACCTGCAATTGGAGGCATTGTCTTGGAAATCTCATCGGCAACTTCCTTGATGCGATCTGGGTTTGTCACGTCCATGGCCATCACCAGAACCTTGGCGCCCAGCTTTGCCATGGAGTCAATCCAGGTCTGGCTGACATTGGGATTTCTGCTTGCCAGCACGACATACTGGACGCCGTGCTTGATCATCCACGAGCAGATGGAAATTCCAACGTCACCAGTGAGACCGACCATGAAGTATGTCTTGTCCGACTTGAAGAGTTGCTCGGGCTTGACAGGTTGTAGATTTGCCCGGATTGGGACGCTCTGTGCCTGTCGCCAATCGATGACAGTCGTGGACGCACTCGCCTCGATTCCGCTCAGGTCGCCAATTGGTACAATCCTTGCGGTATGATCTTCGGTGATACCATTCAGCTGAATGGTGGACGCATATGCAGCTTCAAGAAGCTGAGAAGCTGGTCTGTCCGATTGACTTGCAGGGCATTCCCAGAAATGTCCACTGGAAGGCTCGCGCACCAAGAGGAAAGACGAGACCTTCGAGAGAAGATCGGAAGAGTCGGCGTCACTGCTCGAGTCTCCAAAGATGACTGCTGCAGTCTTGCGGGGCACGAACGCCTTGAGCATGCGCGTGGGTGCACGCGGTGGAATAAAGTTGTCGGAGGTTGAGTCTGGTGAACTTGCAAAGATCTTGATGCCGTTCTTCTTCGCCTCGACTTCGATAACGTCCCGTGCCATCTCGCTGATTCCATGTAGCCATATAGTATAACCTCGAGGCACTGACCGTACCCAAGCCTGCGCGGCTAACACGACAGACAGGAGTGCAACCGCATTGGAGGCAATGCTTGCGGACAGAACGCGGTCGCTTGAAACTTGAAATACCGAGGAATTCGTTGGGGATAATGCAATTACAGCTTCGGAGCTGTCCTGGCGTGTGCCCACACAAAGGTATTGAGGCTCTTGGTAAGACAGCAGATTGATGGGTGCCAAGCAGGAAAAGGCATTCTCGATCGTGTCCAGTCTGGGCCTGTCTTGAATGAGCTTAGAACTGGCCCTGACTTCAACTGAGGTTTCAGTCTGGTTGACCTCAATGACGTGAGTCTCCGATGTGACCTCCTTGACAATTTGCCTTCTGGCCGAGTTAGTACGCTCATTGGGGTCTTCATACTCCTGAATGCGGGGAACAAAAAGTTGATTGTTCCTCAGACAGAGTTCGGTCTCCAAAGACCAAAACCTTTCGTCGGGCTCCGCGTTTTGAATTGCAGTCAGTGTCAGCTGGAGGAAATGCTGCAGGATTGTGTTGGGATTAAGCTTGGTGGCTCCGTCGATATCCATGACCTGGAGGAAGCTTCCCAAGGCAGGCCTTTCAGCGCGTAGTCCGCGGCACAAGCCGACCAACATGTTTGAGTAAGGATTTGACGTTGCCGCATTCTTCGTAAATATCAATACTCCCCGAGCCTTCTCAATAATTCCTTTGAATCCTGACAGAGCTGCATCATCAACTCCGCTCTTGAACGTCGGCTGGTCCACCTCAGAGAGACAGAGAACCACAGAGTTGGCGGGTACATCGGATGGCTTGACACTTCGAAGGTCGGGAAAATGGACGACATCGTTGCCAAAACCTGACAATCTATCCTTTACTGAGCGGACAGTCTTTGACGTTGCAAATGTGGAACCACCAATGAGAGTAAATGGAATAAAGTCGGGTATCATATGGGTGTTGTCGAGCGGCTCTCGAAGAGCGTTGATTGTATGGTCAGTAGCTTGGCTGACGAAAGAGGTGAAAGTGTGAAATTCATTTTCCTTCTGGTCATGGCTGAACATATCGACACCGGTGAATCCAACGTTGCGGAGCTTTTCGTCCCAAGTCTCAATGGTTGCGACTGGTCCGAAGCGTCTACAATTGTCGCGCGCGAGCCACCAACCCTCCAGGCCACCCATGATCACTTGAATCCGGAGGTGATCCGAGGTCGGTTCAGTAACGATGAGAAAGCCACCGGGCTTGAGTAACCCCCTGACACGGCGCAGCAAGGCTTCAATGTCATCCGACACGTGCAAAACATTCGCAGCAATAATAACATCATATGATGGGGTGTCGAAGCCCTGCTCCTCGAATGGATGCCCGATATCCAGCTTCTTGAAAGTCATCTTATGCACGTGTTCCGCAAATCGCTTCTGCGCCTCGGGGAAGAACGCAAGCGACACGTCGGTGAAGTTGTAAGAGCCGAAATGGTCGCCGATGGTATCAAAGACAGCTGAAGTCGTCGCACCAGTTCCGGCTCCGATTTCGAGAATATTTGCCTTTGGGTACCGATGGGATATGGCTTTCAAGTAGGCCGAGACTTGGCGTTGAGCATTGCGAAGACCAAGGCCTTCGCGGTAGAAATGGCTCAGTTTGTCATCCGCAAAAAGGACATGAACCATTTGCTTCTCGTTCCGGAATACGCTACCGGCTTCGTCTCCCACGAGTCGTAGAAGTTCAAAGTCAACTTGGTCCTGGTTCCTTTCAAGAATGGCATCGATCGTTTCTCTCGTGTCCTTTGCCCAGTTGCGATAAGGTCCCTTCTCGACCGTGTTCGCCAGATCCGTGAGCTGTTCGAACATCATCTTCTCATGAGGCTTCAAGTTCTCAACGCCAACCTTGCTCGCCTCTACCAACAGCTTGCGGCAGAAGAACAGAGCAACACGCTCAGATTCTTGAACCGCCACATCTTGCGGTGGGTTGAAATCGATTTCGAACTCGGCGCCGCCCAGCACGTCAGCTTCCCATTTGGTCTCTGCGAAGATGATGCGGTCGTTGGAGGCGTCTGGTCGTCCGAGAGCTGCCAACGCCATTCCTTCAAGTTGAAGGAACGGTGTCCTGAAGTCGTCGTGGGGCGAGTAGATGCTGACATCGCCACTGATCTTGGTTGCCGACAGTTCTGTGGAGAAGGCATCGATGAGAACCTCGATTTGACCACCAGATGATGGGATGAGGCGATGTCTTGGGTTGACTGTGATCTTTTCGAAGCTTTGAGGTAGGTATGCAGTCCAGAGTCTTTCGGCAGTTGGGGCGTTGAAAGCAGCAAACACCTAAGTCAGGTCAGTATGAGAAATATAGCTTTCACTCGAGTTTCAGAGGGCCAAAGCTTACCGGTTGCAGTGCAACATCAATCAGGGCAGGGTGGTAGAGATCACCGTACTCAATCTCGTCAGCGAACCAGGACGCTGTTGCAGTAGCAATACCATCAACACGGCGCATCGAATTGAGCCTCTTGAAAAGCTCCTCATACTCCAACCTAGTCTCTTTCACAGAGCTGTAGAAACGCCCAACATCCACGGGCGGTACGGTTGCAGCCAGCGGGTCCACTCGAGGAGGGAGGACATCATCGTTGGTACTACCCAACGACACAGAGATGATTCCAAAACACGTTCTGTCCACCTTGCCTGTGCTCGCATCAGAGCATACATATGACGAAAACTCGGCTGTAATCTTGCTCTCGTCTTTGCGTGTCACTTTGACCGATGTCAGGGGCGGCGAAATTCGGACTCTGCAACCTCCTCGTGGTGCCGCCTGGGAACATATCTTTTCTAAAGGTAGAGCCAGTGCAGAGACGTTACGGCGCGCAAGTGCAAGTGGTGGCGGGCGCTGCGCACGAAGTTTTTCTGGTGCGGCGGAAGGGCGGGATCGGA